TTCTAACTACATATAGTGAAAAATAGAAGGTTCCACACCTTCTGTTGCCATTCTGATCAACTGCCTCTGTGATAGGCACACTACAGAGATTAGAAGTGTCAACAGCTGGTAAGTTTTATTTGACCCAGTCTCTTAATAATAATAATAATAATAATAATAATAATAATAATAATCAACAATAAATTAAAATTCCATCTTCTAATTACACTACACACATTTATAAGAGATCACATGTTTTTGCAGTCACAATTCAGTTGTGTACTTATGTGAGTTAATTTTGTCTCTGTTTTTTAATAAGTGAACTTTGTTGTAGAACTCCCACTTTTACAGATGGCATATCATGATTAATCTAGAAAGTTCTAGATAGCTAAGTCATTTCTGATTTACAAACATAATTTTTCTCCTGAGGGAGTCTGACATAAGTGCCATTTGTTTGGCTATCCCTCTGCTGTAGTCCTTGATCTGTATGATTTTGGGGCTTTGGGACCGACATCCCAACTACCTCCCCTAGTCCCTTGTGGTCTCTGGTTATACGGTCTATCATGTCTATCATCCTGTCTCAACTTCTGGCCAAAGTCCATTCAGTCTAAAGAAGATACTAAGTGTGCTTCTTCCTCACCATTACCCTTGGGAGTTGTATCTTCTCATTTGCTCTCCCTACCACTCTTAGTTCTGCTGGGCTTTGTAAGGTGCGTTCTTAGGCTCATCCTAGGAAACATCTCTTTCAGTAATTTCTAATCTCTCTCCAGGTGTCTCTTAACCTCCTGGCATCTCTCTGAATGAAGAAATTAGAGGAGTTTGAAATTTTACTTGGATAGTTCCTGTGAAATAAGATAGAAATTATCTCCGTTGGGATTTTGCCAATCCATTCTAGGTACTTGTATCTCATTTTATTTTCTCCTCCAAGAAAACATGTCAAGACCAAAAAGTGTGGGGTTCTGGCTCTCTTCTTAGGGACCCAGAGAGCATTTTAACCTGAAACTATTGCCTTCAAATATTTTCCACACTCTTTCCTTGTCCAGAGGTTTGTATGTGGACATGTGTCCAATACTTTCCTGTGTAGCACTGAAATTCCTTTGGTTACCATCCTCAATCCTACTACAATGTATGCTTGTTTCATAGACTTCTTTTAGTCTTCTGTGCTCTGCCTCCTGCTCTTCTAAGAAGAGTCATTATTGTAATTTAAAACCACAAACTGAAAACTGTTCCCATAATAAATGCATGGGGTCTTGCATATGAATAACTCTTTGACTTTTAGACAATTTCATTTGTTATGAATTTCAAAGTCCGTTTAGCTTCTCAATTGAGTCCTTTGTTCTACGTTATACTTGAACAACCTATAAGGTGTGATCAAATAATACAGTGAATGTGTAAATAAAAAAATTATTACAGTAAAAGACACATTGCCATTAATCTTCATCAAAATACTCCCTCTTCCTTCAAACACACTTATATCATTATTCTTGCCACTTTCTGAGGCAGTTCTGAAAGTCCTTTTTCGTGAGTGACTGAGTTGCACTGTTGTGGCTGCCTCGATGTCCTGAATCAATTCAAAATGTTTATCTTTCCTGGTCATTTTGACTTTGGGGAAGAGCCAGAAGTCGCATGGTGCCAGATCCAGTGAATAAGGTGGATGAGGACACACCATAACGTTTTTATTTCACAGAAATTGCTGCATACCAGAAGCGATGTGTGACAGGAAGTCTTTTTGTTGTGATCACAAAATACGGTGAATGCTGCTGCCAAGTTCCATCTAACAGAAAGACAGGGATCTTCAATACAGGAAGTGGCACATTGAACCTTAGTAACAGTGTGTGACAAGCTTCTACTTGTTTGATTCAGTCAGACAGTGTAAGCTATGATTCAGAGAAGGTGTGTTTTAAAGTGTGCCATACATCATCCTCCATCATGACAACGCTCCATGTCACACATCGCTTCTGGTATGCGGCAATTTCTGTCAAATAAAAACATTACAGTGTGTCCTCATCCATCTTATTGACTGGATCTGGCACCGTGCAACTTCTGGCTCTTCCCCAAAGTCAGAATGATTCGGGGCATCGAGGCAGCCACAACAGCGCAACTAGACACTCATGAAAGAAGACTTCCAGAACTGCTTCAGAAAGTGGCAAGAACGATGGGATAGTGTGTTTGAAGCCATGGGGAGAATTTTGATGGGGATTAATGGCAATGTATCTTTTACTGTAATATATTTTTTAAATTAAAAAATTCACTATATTGTTTGATCATACCTCGTGTACTACTCAGTACTCCAAGGTTGATATTTCTACCATTTTGATAGTGTAGAGAAAGAAAAGATAATAGGAAGAGGGGGAACAGAGTTTAATGGCAAACTGTCGTCCTCTACACATTCATGCATCTCCTTTCTTTGTAGAGTCAAACAATAATACATCTGTAAAGAATGCAGAAATTGTCTAATTTCTAACCACACTCATCTTACAAAGGAGGAGAATCTAAGACACTATTTTTACCTAAAATCACCCAGCTGGCAAAATAGGATTAAGGTCTTTTGATTTCTTGTAATATGTCATAGTATTGCTCTGTTATTTACTGTTATCTATTTCATTTTGATTTTAGTTTCCCTAAGCCCCCAGAAATAGACTTTTATAAATTATTTGCATGAAAGTCCTGTCTTTGTTGTTGCAGAGGAAAGGCACAGAATGATGACATAGTGGGTGATATGGAAACATTTAAAGTTTCAGATTTATGTACAAAAAACTAATATTAATTTCCATGTTTTATCTTTTTTACTATGAGAACACTCCTCTCACCTTCTAAGCCACCTGAAATCTACATCCACAATATAATTTATATATATGTATATACCGGGGGTGCCAAAAAATGTATAGAATTAGACACTTCGGTCAACATTACTCAAGCAGCAGTTCACCATAATAAGAAGTGTCTGGACACTAGTGGTAACCTCTTTGAACACCTCTTGTAATTGCATAAGTCAAACATGACTTGTTTTCATCTTTTGTTATTGCTGCATATTGAGAATTGCAGAGGGTACCAAAAAAATGTATACACATTTTAAGAAAGAAAAAAACTATTAAAATTGTAATACTCATTATATGCTGAAAACAAAAGATTAATACAATTCATGTGTATACATTGATATATACATGTGTGTGAGTGTGTGTATACACACATACACAAACATATACATGAATATGTATATACTATATATATGCATGTATATATGATATGGATATATATATGTATATACTATATATATGCATGAATATATGAGATATATATATATATATATATTTAAAGAAACAGAAGCCTAACAAACTAGTATGTCATATTATCTTCATCATTCCATTGTCATACTGTAGCCACTACAGATTATATATCTGTATGTGCGGGAGAGAAATAGGCAGGTGCTCCATACACATTGTGTAGATTCTTGTAGGAATTGAACTTTATTCTAAGTACAGTGAGAAGCTACTGGAAATTATGAGATAAAGAATGAAGTGATCTGATTACCGTTTCTTAAAAGATAAGTTTCACTGCCCAGGAGGGACCAAATTGAGAAATTGTTGTGGTGGGAGTTGGAGGGTGTGGTGAAAAAAAGCAGAAGCAGAAGAGAGGAAGTAGAGGAAGTAGAAGAGAAGAGGCTGTTATAGCTGCCACAGGGCAGGTCCCTCCAGTGTGAACTATGGCAGCTGGAAAGGGATGGGGAGAAGTAATCGAGTTAGGATATGTGTTGGAGATAAATTAGATGGGAATTCCGGTGCTCCTCACCTGGACTCAGACTACAGAAGGGTAAGAGATAGTCAATAAACACTATAATTCTTTCATGTGGCTGAACACATTTAATTTAGCTTTTCTACTAATCTAATAGAAAGTCAGGAAGGAATGTTAATCAATGTATAATAAATAGAAAATGAATAGTATCACATACTTTAATGTTCTTGGATATTCAGTATCATTTCACAAGGCACAATGTTTAAAAAAATCTTTCAATTAAATGTTGGCACTAAATACTAGTTAGCTAAGGTAGTTAATTTATTATTATATTATTATTAATATTAGTATTGTTTTAAGGCCATTGAATTGGACTTTCCTTCTGTTCCTAGTCCAGGAAGGGTTTACTTTTGTTGATCTTTTTGGCCTGGTGTAAAATCTATCTTTTGAGATTGGCATTCCCCAGTGACTAAGTGGTGAATTATGCTGTCTGGAAAGTTATTGTGAGTTCCACTGTGGTTTTGGTTCAGTAGGTTTTTATGTATTTTTACAAATTTTGTACATACACCCAGAGGCTTTTTGGCACTCGCTACATTATGACATTCAAGAAAATAAATATGAGCCATTTAATGGCCTCCAATTCTAGGTTTAGCATTTTAAATATATTGAAATATGTATATGAGGAATTTTCTGAAACTTGGAACAGATACTAATTTGGCAACGATTTTTACTAATATTACAAAAAAGGCCTTTCTTTGCAGCCCATTTGCTTATACGTCCTTTAGGCTACGAGAGGAATATTTTGAGTCTGAGCTCTGGAACTTATAGGAAGTGTAGTTAATATTCTGGATATTTGTTTTGCATTTCTACTGGATGGATACGACCAATACTAATTGATTCAACCTATTCCTGGGAAAACTCTCATGCTTAGCGTCAACATGAATTAAAGTCAGCAGTGTAGTGTAATACAAAAGGGTTTATTTGGAAATGAAGCAAATTCAGTTTTTAAATAAAGTATAGCTATTTCAAGAACAAAAAAGATGTATTTGATAATCTTTTTCCCTCTCACTTGTCAAATTTAAATGATCCACTTGCAAACTAAAGCCAATGGCATATTCTAGTGAAAATTCAATTTATAGTGAAATAAAACCCTATAATTCTCATATACATAATTAGCCCTCCAAATTGACTGTTAATCACACAAGTAATGAATATCAACCCAAGGAATCTTATAATTATTAAAGGTTAAAAAGTGTATTAAATATTCAAGGTTATGTCATATTACACCTTAGAAATTGCTTCTGACCTTGAAAATGTGAACCTTGTTCAGGAACTTATGATATGCACTGACACCCTGGTAATGGCAGTATTTTAATAAAAAGGTATTATTTTGCACCAAATCACAATGAGACTATATTATGGCAGAAGCATACGAAAGTTTCAGAGGCAGCAGTAATAGTTTGAGGCATGAAATTCTTAGTTCTATTGTTATTTTCTGCCTCTTGGTCCCCTCACTTTGGCCACTGTTTTCTCATCTGCCAAGAGATTTCAGCAATTCTAGTCTGCTCCCACCTTGAAATGCTGTCAGGGATCTCATATTTTGCTTGGTAATCCCTGGGGATCTTTGGATGAAAAGAACCATAAAAATCCAAAATGTTTTTCTAGGTGGGGGTTTCCAAAATTGGTCCCTTTGAGGGAGCCACCCACTTGGATATTGAATACCCTCCCTGTGTAATGTGGAAAAAGCGGTTGGTGAAAATTTGCTCTTTTAGCATCACCAAAAAAACAGACGGCTTTATTGTTTAGAAAGTGAAACACACCCATTGGGGATCACTTCATCATTTTTTTAAGTGAATGAAAACATCACAAGTTGAACTGATGAAATGCAGGATAAGTGCAAACAGACTACACCCTTCCTTTTTCGGTCACAAGGAGCTGTGGTCTGCCAATTCTCCCCATCGCACCCTCCCTGTCTAGTAAAGGGCCCTAGTTGGCTCACAAACCATGTCCATATCTGAGCTACAGCTAATTATGCCACTGTTGAGTCACCGACAGAGAATCCTTCACAGACTGCTTGCTTTCCTCTTTGTGGTGTAGGGCGGTGATTTGAAAGAGAAATCTTTTCCCTGTCATTTTTTTCTCTTTTCATCTGCGTCATTCCCCCCCCCCCGTTTTCTTACTCACTTTCTTTTCTTCCAATTTTAATTATCGTCCCTCTCTTAACCCATCCTTTTCTAATCTCAAGGGCAATTTGAAAGGGATGCTTGTTCACCGGATGAAACTCTCCAAGGGCTCATCTGGAAAGAATAACCGTCTTTTTTGTCCCTCCAGCTGCCAAAAGTCATCATGAGTCATGGTTTTGACTCAATGGACAGAAACACTTAATATAAATAGTTGGCCTTTCCCACAGTTGCCATTTAGTTGCCATTCCATCTTGTTGATTTCAACTGACTGATAAGACCCAGCATTTGACACGAGTAGCTTACCTGGTCATCTGTCCTTTGTATTTTTCCTGTGTCTGTGACACCTGGCTAAAGCAATCAGGTCAAGTGGGTGATAAGCCAAATAAATGATTGTCAGTGAGCTCTAGAATATCTTCTTTGAAACATTCTTGCAAGGTGACTCCCCAAAACAGAACCAGGTTCCATATGCTAAATAAGAAATTAGCTAACCTATCTTCTAAACAATATGATTTCTAAATAATGTTATTATTTAAGATCGTTGCTTAATAGTGTCACTGTTACAACTCAGTGTTTCTTACTTTGGAACCGGCTAGAGAAACTTTTTCCAAATAGACAAAATATTTGGTTTCGGTAAGAGCCCAAAGGAACAATTGCTGATATTCACTCTTTACCTTGTCCAAATAAAAGCTGATAAAGGGTGACTCTCAGACAAATACACAGTAAGCATGGCAATTGTTTCTTTAACTCACTAATGAGGTTTATCAGGCAGAATTCAAACAGGTAAACAGAATAAGGTATATGGATATACCCCTTCCTCTCCCTCACATATGTATTTGTTTATCTCAAGGAATTGGTGTACAAATGGATACTGGTGAAGCAAACCTGAAATCCCATAGGTCAGAAAGCCTAGAAGGGAAGACTGCAAGCAGACTGGTACCCACAGGTGTGGGCCAGAGTTTCCTGTGCACAGGAACTATGCTTAGGAGCACCTGGAGCCCAAGGGGGCCTAAGGTGTGTCCTCAGGAAAGGCTTAAACACTTCGGAAGGCCTTCTTACAGAATAAATCAGGCCCATCCAAAGTACTCTCCCTAACTGAAAGTGAGCCGATTAGGCACTGTACCTCTGCAAAATCCCTTCCCAGCAGCACTGAGATTAGTTTGTGTTTGACTTGATCACTGGGAGAACACAAGTTCGTGCTACAAAATGGCTGCTGCTTCCTGTCCCTCCTCCAGGTCTCATGAAGAATCTCTCTTGTAGCCCACCTCATCTCGGAAGATGCTAGAAAGGCAATCCTGCAGACTGTAGTTCCTCCCAGCCAAGTTAACACACCACAAAGCCATATATGAATATTTAGATACTCTGTGCTATGGTTTGTATCCTCCCCAAATTAATACATGGACTCTTAACTCCCAAAGGTGATGGTATTAGGAAGTGGGAACTTCGGGGGATGATGAGGTCATGAAGGTGGAGCCCTCATGAATGGGATTAGTGTCTCAAAAGAGTCTCCAGAGATATTCCTAGCCCCTTCTGCCAAGTGTGGACACAGTGAGATACAAAACTGGTTATTGTTTAATAAGGCAACGAAACTATAACCTTTGCGGCTATCATTCTTATCAGACATAAATAATTTACATCTCTACCACATACAAATCCACGAGTTAAGATGGAACTTCATAAACTCTGAGACTGAATTAATAAGAAGCAGCAAGTCAAACAAGGGAACATTGGCCAAGATAAATGAAATGATCTTTGCATGGGACTATTAGATAATGTTCCATTATGACTGTGAAAGGACATGGATACGTCCTTTTGCTTTATTTCCAAGTTTGGATACATTTTCTTAATTTATTAAATATTTTACCTTATTTCATTATCAAAATGATCACCTTTCTTGGAGAGTTTAGATTTTTCTGAAATATTATATCCCATCTGCTTAATCAGAAATTAGTGTTGATTTTGCCCTTGAATGGTGAGAGCTTCTGGTCTTCTCTGATCTAGCTACATATAATGTCTAGCGCTTCATGGGCTGTAGCTGCCAATCAGGAGTTGCTCTGGGTATATGGGAGATGACTCTCATGCCCTTAGGTACACAAGTCCCTTGAATCTCTAGGACCCAAGCAATTAGAAAGGAGGAAAGAAAAAAAGAGAAAGATCATTCTTCTATTTAAGATCCTGAATAAGTAGGATGGAAATATTGGGAAGAAAGAATAAAAAGAGGAAAGGAGAGAATCATTATTTTTACTTTTGCAACTTTATTTCCATGAGGAAATAAGATACAAACCCAAAATTAAAAATAACTGCCAATTGATACAGGCTGAGTAAGAACAAAGAAAACAGTGTATCTTGAAATTTCTATGCTATTAAAGCTATATATTATTGTTTTGAATGCAGCTGATATATATTTTTTCTATCCTAAACTGCAGACCACATAGGTTATGTTTATAAACCAATTATTCAGTAAATGTTTCTAGATACATTTGAAATGTACCTTGAAGTGACAAATTTGGGGAAAAAATGAAAAAATCATCTGTACAGATATTTTTCTTTACTTGAATTAAAGCAAAACAAATGCTTAGTAATAGACTCACTATAGTCTTTATTGTGATCTTTAAAGGCAATTGTTTAAAAGAGTTTTCACCTCTTATGACAATTAAGACACCATTGACATGTTGTAAATAATAGGGAATTCATGTCTTAAACTAAAACCACTGGTGCAATGAACAAATTCATATTGCTATGTGTCCAAACTACTGTTTCACTTCCTATGTTTTAGCAAGTTATTGCAAAAAGTATATAACAAATGGCTAACACATTTCTTTCTTCACTCTGACTCCTTCTCCGATCATCATCTAATCAGCTGGAAAAATCATTATTTTAAAATCCAGAGATTTTTGG